GAGTTCCTTGCAGGGGAGAGTAGATAGTCTTTGAAAGAGAGTCCTGAATGAAGAAGATGCACCGACATGGCATAAAATCATAAGATGAAAGAATTATCCATGAAGCCAATGCTGCCAAGAACCTGAGCTCAGAATTGAGGCCATTCTATTGAAAAGGCACATGCACTCCCCTTGACCTGATGCTGCCAGCTAATTTTACACCAGAACCACTTTCCAGGTAGGCATTAGTATTGCACAGGGAGAGAGGCGCAGCTTTACTCCTATCATATCACCAATCCACAACATTTTCTCAGAACATAGCATATCGAATATTAAGTTCTACAACTTTGTGATAGATATTTCTGAATGGAAAATGTTTTTGCTTTAAAAAGTTACAGCAATCTACAGCCTTTTTATCCACTGTATATCTAAATAGGTATTGGCATGCAAATAGATATAAATGTGTCTGTCTCATATGGATGTAAAAAATCAGAATTACTGTTCATGTAGGTAGCTCATTAATCAATAACAGTCCTTCATCTGATTCACGGCACACCTAGAGATGAATCATAATTTGCAAATAACAAAGAGTAAAACCTGTTCTGGCAACGAGCGAAAGTAAATGGTAAAGTATTGGTCAACAGTGTATTAATCTGGACCATTAACTTTATGGAGAACACTACCAGTGATGTCCAAACCCAGAGAAAGAATGTGATGTTTTAATGATCTGAAGAACCAGGAGCTGTGCCAATTGCTCATTTCAAACCATAACAAAGAATTCTTCAGATTAAGCTAGATATATTTTCAAAAAACTTTAACTTTACAAATGAACTGTAGTACAGGTAGAGAGCCACCAATTTGGTTTCTTACATTAACACATTCTAGAATTAGATAGATAGATTTTCTTGTCTGTCTGTTTGAAGATATATGACAAATACGTTTCTTTACTTATTTCTTAATTTTCTACTTCTCTGTCTGTGGGATTTTTCTCCGGGAAATTAAATTGTGGCCAGGGTATTCCACTGAGCCTGTACTGCTATATGAGCTAAATAAGAGATATTGGGATATGGCTTTATCTTCTTTTTTGGACTGTTCTCCATGTCACTTTCTCCTGTGCTACTGAATATTTGATGACTTCTCAGAGAGATGCACAGCTTATACTTTACCTCTTTGTAAAAGGAGTGCTAGGTTACTGATTAATTTATAATGCAGTAAAATTAAACTAAATGAGTTAAATGTTTTGGCGTTAAAGTGATGTTGCTGTAACAGCCAAAGTTGCCAGGTGCATTACTTTCGTTATCTTGTTTTTTTTTTTTCCAGAGAACCAATTTATCAACCCTAACCCTGTAAACAAACATGCCAATGCTATCACTTCTGTGATACACATTTATCAGTGTTGACACATTTTATTACATTGCTCTATAGTTTCTTTGATCTTTTCAGATCTTAAATATCTCTTGTTTTCCCTTTGTAAAACAGTCTTGCCCATGAGAGAGAACTGCGAGCAACAGGAAGGGACATACATATTTAGGACCAATACATTTGATAATCAAGTACTAAAATGAAAACAGAAAGTGTTCCTGTACAGAAACAGTACACAGGTTTTTGCAGTGGGTACAGAAACACCAGTACAAGGAAACATTAAGTCACACATGTACACAAAAGCAAACATAGAGGAAGGAAAAATCACCATCAGAGTAAACCAAACTCCTCACTTTTACAGGTGGGATTTTCTGCATCTTTCACCCCTTACAGACAATGTTTTGTAAGGGAAGCTTTCAGTGGCAACAAGCACCAGAAAATTCTCTACGTTTTTCAAGGTCTGGGGTAAAATGAATATTTCTTCTTCCATCTACATACTTGTAAGGCATTACTAACCTTCACATGTTCTGAGAAAAGGTGCTTGGGTTTAATAATGTATGTATTTTAGCAGAGCCTTTGCTAGCTGTGTAATGCATGCAGTCATTCCTCCTCTATCCTGTGATTTCTAAATACAGTGATGAGGACACCATTTCTCCAAGTCACTCAGACCATTTGACCACCTATCAGCAACCAGCAGACAATCAAGCAAATTCCTCATGGATTCCCCTGACGGGGGAAAAAAGAGAAAACAGCCAGTGGGAAGAAACTTTCATTTCTATCAGTTTGATCTTTACTACAACATGCCTCAGTAGATTTCCTCTGTATAATTAAAATGTTCTCCCTTTAGGTTCACTTTATTTTCTGTGGCAAAGATCTTTATCACTCTAACCATAAGAACTAGTGTGAATGTATGTACATTATTTCCACTTTAAAATGTGGAAGAGGACTTCAAAAGCTTTTTATTTGTTGTAGCTGCTGTGCACTACATATTTGATAAAAACATCACAAGCAGTTTTTCCAACTCAGTGAAGCTATTTAAGGACAAAGAAGAGAAAATGGCTACTGTTCCTTTGGGTCCTCAAAGACTGTGGAGCCACCATAGCCTCCAATTTTTTCTTATGCATATTGCCAACAGCAAGGATGAAATGAGTTTCTGCAGTGCACAAATGGCTTGGCAGTTGGAACTGCCATATAAAGCAGTGCCTTGGTTAGCAAGGCCATGGTTTTGATATGGATTGCCTACATTCACAACCATAAATAAATTATATTAGCATCACGAATCTACAAAAATACCATTTTCTACCTCAGAAATAAATTGATTTCAAGTGAAGGTTGTACTAACTAGTGATACCTCATAGAGTAAGTAGGTGTGATAAAACAGCCATGGGAAACCCAAAACAACAATCTTTCTGAGCTCAAGTACAAGCATTGAAGCAAACATACTGTAAATTATTTTGCTCCCCTTGTCTCAGAGAGTGAAGTTCATTTCCCACTTAACCAATCTGGAAAGCAGAGTATTTCAATGTCTTTCCAATTTTTGAGGTGTATACTTTACCACTTACCAGAATGCCCTTCTGGAAGAAGAAAGCAGTTTTAATGTGATCTATATGTAACATAGTTATTATGAGACATAAATCTTACTAGGACTTGCAGGGTACTGTCCGTCATCTTCTTCATGGAAATCGCCAGCCACCGTCCCGAAGGAGATGCCAGGTGATACAGAGGGAAATTCATCATCTGTATGGTGATGGATAGATTATTACTATTCCAGTAGCTCAGTTGCAATGCAGTACTCACAAGCACTTCATCTATTCTACCCTGCAAGCTACATTCCTTCATTTATTGGTCCAAGAAAGAAGAAAGGTGCAGACCCCACCTAAGCTCACCTTACTGGCACAGTGAGGATATCACTCAAACAGAAAATTTGAAGAGGAGAATGTATTACAGTGATAATTAGTATTCCAGCAACCATCTGTTCATGTGATACAAGATCTCATTGCAGCTGTACACCATGAGGACAGGGATCTTAGAGCAATGAGTGTAGTTATTCATATTTCACTCTCATGAGATATATGCTGAGATTTAGTCCAAAAATCTAGACTATGCATGCAAGCAGAGATGGCAACAGAAATACACAGCACATGCCTTGGGGAATGTGGGGAATGTTTCTGATCCTAGTTCCTTAGCAAGAGAATCTTAGGATTTACCTTTCATGGTGCTAGCTACATGTCAAAACAAGCATAACATGCCATGAGTATACCACCAGTGAAAAGTAATTTTATAATCCTAATGCTCTTGCCTTTTTTTTTTTTTTTAATTTTATTTTAGTATCTATTGAGGATAGTGATGCAAACTATTGGTATCCTTTACTGGTAAGTTATTGGTGATTTGATGAAAACCTTGTAGCCACACAGTAAGCTTTACTGTACTTAGAGGATGACTTATACCTGTGTCCCTAATGTTCAGTGGGAGTGAGTCTTTCAGACCTCTGATAATTTCAGCCACACAAGCAACATAAAAGATTAAATAAAATAAGTAGAAAAGAAGATGGCATTTATATTTGGCAGGGCCCCACGAAATTAGTGGCAGCCTAGCATCCTTACCATAATCTTTTCCAGGAACTCCTTTTTCATCTCCTCCAGAAGTGTGATCTGGCACCTGTGAGACCGGAGTCGGGCTCCCATAATACGAGGTGCTGGTTCTCCTGATGGTGGCATCCAGGGGAGTTGTCTCATGGGCTGACCCACTGCCAGCATTTTCCTCCTCCACCCCCGAGGTGGAGGACTCGCCGCCGGCGTGGCGTGTGCCATCCGCGTTGTACCGCGAGCCGTCCGCGTTGTCAATGACTGCAAAACACAATTGAGCACCAGCTGCCAGGGGGCCACAGCAGAAAGCAGCACCCAGGGATTAATACCAGCCCTCCCATCCAGCCCAGAGCATCACTGAAATTTCTCTGATGCGTAGATGCTGATTTATGTATTAGTCGCACTTGTAGGGCTTGACCCGCATCGCTTATTTTTATCAAGCTGCTTGATTTTAACATAAAACCTTGGCATTTGTTAAGTCAATTAGAATTTAAAGTTGAGCCTTTTTTTTCCAGCTTGCAGCAGCTTTTCCAACAAACAGCTTGAATCAGATGTAGGAAGGTTGCAGTCTTGAGCAAATTCCTTTATGTCAAAGGGATGTTAGCAGCTCTGATACGCCAAAAATGTCAAATACCTACATAAAAAAATGTTTGGTACCCTGAGATTTACCAAACTCAACAGGCTTTAGGGGAAGACAAGTGACTAGTTGCTTTAATATCTATTGAACATCTCTTAACTGCTTTTTCTTATGCTTGGCTTGGCCTTTTTTTTAATATTAGTGATTGTTTATGTGAAAACAAGAAAAACAGTTACAAAAAACTGAGCAAGTGCATGTCTTTCTAATCAGCGCAGTACCTGTTTCATCCTGATTACTGAGTAAAGAAGTATCTATTTTTACAACTGGCTCACATGTTTTATCCGCCGTTTCTGTGAAAGAAGGAAAATAGAAAGGATTAATTTGAAAAAAAATGGATTAGAAAATCACGTGTATGCCCACATCAATTGTACATAATTACAAAACGTCAGCTTCAGATGAGGAGGATTGAAAACTAATTTCCAAACAAATGTTATTCACTGACATACCACCTTCCCAAGTGGGGCATTTTGAGATTGTTCTGTCAGCTGACAACGAGATTCTACATTTCCATAACCATTCCAGAAAAGGGCTGCAATCAATGCCAGTTAAAACAGCCTTATGACCCGGTTTCAATGCAGTCAGACCCACTGCCATTGTGGCAGTGGCAACTCTAACCCTTTTTAGCTGGCAGGACTCCGTCCCCTCCATGGAGGGCTCTGCAGAGGCAGCGTGTGCCCAGCTCTGGTGAGCACTGCTGGCTCCTGAGTGCCCCACTTGGGGCTGGTGTACGAGCTACCTGCTCGTGCTGCTGCTAGGGAATAAGACTTGGGAGGAGTCATAAAGATCTGGAGGGGATGGACATCACCATAGCAGTCCTCTGTGAATAATCACCTGTGAGTGACACACAATGGCAACTCACATGACACTACACCAATGCAGAGATTTTTAATTGTATCACTACCAAGAACAAAATCAAAAAATATCACTGCATTCAAATCATCAATGAACTTTTCCTGCAGCTTTCTGTAAGAACTCTTAGACTTTCCTAATAATTTACTATAATATTTCCAACTATTAAAAGGTTCAAAACCTTAGGTGAACGTGGTCTGCTGCTGACGCACATTGCTGTCCAGCTGCCTCACGTGTAAATGGAGATTTGCCTGAGCAAACACTGAAAGAATCTGCAAACAGGAGAGCAGCAGCTGTGTCCATGGGCTTGGGATGGCCATCACAGGCCTTGGAGCTGCTGCAGGTGGCAGCCACTCCTAAAACACAAAAAAAACCCTGGTCTTGGCTGTAAAGCTCATGTTCTGCATGAAGAGAAGAGCTGTGCCATGGCTGACAACAGTGATGTCTCTCAGATCCACTGCTGCAGTGGTTCACTTCACTAAGCCATTATAATGAACTGTTCTGAAGCTGAAAGGTTTGTCCCAAGGCCAGAAAAGTGATTTAGTTCAAAACACACCGATAACAAAACTGTCATTGCTGACATGACAGATACGCTTCCAGAGACTGACAACATGTATTTCTTCTCAGCTGAAAACCAGGCTATATTTATTATATAAGCCCTCATTCCAGTGCCTTAAATAGGAGATTAACTATGTTATTTTTAGTTAATCTGTTTCTAAAATGCATCATAAATCATCTCCTTACCTGTCTCATTGTAACAGTATGCATCATACCGAGCAGTTGTATTTGCTGAAAGATGGTAAATGCCAGTGTTATTTGCTGCACAAAGATGATAGGGATTGATCCGTGGGATAACAATATGCCCCACCACGAAACCATACCTGTGAAGAACAGAGGTAAATAAACCACATTACTTACTATAGCAGATGTCACCTCAAACCTTAAGAAGCTACAAAGAAGCCATCACTTTTTAAATGTGCATGCATTTATTCATACTGTTTTGTTGCTTTTTTTTTCCTTTTTCATTTGAATGTTCCTTTCTCGCATGCAGCTACATCAGCCTCCTGTCACTCAACATCATTTTGTGTTTAATTTCCAGACGTAAAGCCATTTAAATTAAACATGCATCTTATTAGCTAGCTAGGGTGATCAGTTCCAGAGCAAGGGAGTGAAAGTGATGGAGGTGAGTGCACCTTTTATTCAGTGTGAGTTTGTTCCATCTGACACTAAATTCCCATTCTTTAGGGATTCACATTTTCATTGCTTTGACATAACACACCTCGCAGTGACACTTCACACAGAAATCTTGAGGGCTCAATTTATGGTACCTGAGCAAGTTTAAAGAATGATTGCAACACACATAATTTTCTGCAAAAACTGACAGCCTAGTAAAATATTCAAATCCAAGACCCATTCATCCACAAATTCTTCTTGTATCTTTCAGTTGAACAGTGTGATTATTGTGCACAGAGCTCACATAATTCAGTGAAGACTGTGGTTACATAAGGTAAAATACATTATTACTGTTTTGCAATCCTGTAACACCTGATAGATTCCAACGTATTTAACTGGAGATGTGACAGAATGGTAACAAGAACTGGGGTTTGGTTTGGGTTTTGCTTTACTTCTTGAGAGGAATGATTTATCAGCGAGGACTAAATGTCACAGCTTTGCAGTTTTTTATCTGTGAACATCACTCCAGTTTCACATCTAATGTGCAGATACTTGCAATTTTGAAACTCGCTTGTAGGTGGAATTATAAATTGCTTTACTCACACTCCCAGCTAAGCTTACAATGCTGACAGTTTACAAACCATTATTGACCTACTTGTGTTATGTTCTGTTGATTCATCTTATTCACATACATTTGGATGGTTACATGCAGTATATTTTCCCTCTCCTACTCATGTTTAATAAGAGCTAAAGCTTACTGACAAGGACTACTTTTAAGACAGGATCAACAAATGAAAGTAATAGGGTAGGAGGGTTGGCCAGAAGGAAGGGAGGAAGAAATCCTATCCACATGGCTTACATGTTCAAATCTGTCCTCCGGTAAATTGTGAATTAGGGAAAATCTGTAACATTAATTAAAAATTACAGCTTCCTCCTGGAAAAAAAAAATCCCTCTTATTCTTTCAATTGCCTTTATATTTTAGCTTTAGAAAATACTTTCCATAGTTTAGAATACTCATAATTGCTTGCATAGAAATCTCCACCCCTACGTATTTTTTAGGATTTGTGTAGTGCTGGGCAATTCAGAATGCTATGTATGTTCAAGTGCTAATGTCAGAAAAAGAACATGCCTACCGTGTTATGAAGGACTTTCCCCTCAGAGCAAAGAACTGTTTCTAGTCTTTACATGGTACAATATTAAATTACATTTCCAATTCTGATGGAATAATCTTCTAAGAATTCTCTGATCACATATTCCACCACCACAGTACTTGTGAAATGAGCATGCCAGAACAGGAAATAGTTGCAAGCAGTACTGATGTCAGTACTGTTTCTCATGGTACCAGAGCAAAAGTCTTAACACTTTGGAAAGATGTCCACTGAATTTTTCTGTGCCAGTTAGAAGATGAATTCCATTTCACCATGTTTGCTGTTTAAGTTAGACTGCAATAAAGTTGAAAATCTGCTGACGTTTATTTAAACTCCATGATGGTGTGCCACCATGAATCTCCTGGGCTGCAGTGATCATGCAGTGGTGGAGTTTGCAGTCCTGACACAAATGGGTGAGAGGAAGAGTAAAGTCAAAACCCTGAATTTTAGAGAAGTAAACTTCCAGCACTTCAAGGAGGTAATCAATAAAAAATCCTGGGAAACTGCCCTCAGGGACAAGCATGGAGAACAGAGATGGAAGGATTCCTTCCAAGGATTCCCTCCATAGAGTGCAAGAGCTCTTGATATCAGTTTAAGAAATCAGGAAAGCAAGCCAAGAGACCTGCATGGACGTGCTGGGACTAAAGGACAGGAAGGAAATGCACAGGCAGAGGCAGCAGGGTACCAATACCCGCTGGGGTATAGACACTGAGAGCAGCCTGCCCAGGAAAACCGGGGGGTTCTGCTGGGTGAGAGGCTGGACACGAACCAGCAGTGCCTGCTTGCAGCCCAGAGAGCCAAACTCATCCTGGGCTGCACCCAAAGCAGCACGGGCAGCAGGTCAAGGGAGGAGATTTATCTCCTCTGCCACCACCAGAATTGCTGAGTCCAGCTCTGAAGTCCCCAGCACAAAAAGGACACGGACCTGAGGAGGGTCATGAAGTTGATCAGAGGGACCAAGCACCTCTGCTGTGAGGAAACACTGAGAAAGCCTCGCATATTTTATATTAGTATTCACCTAATTTTTTTAAATTAAAAGTTTTCTGTAACTTCTAGTTTCTTGGTCTAGTTATTTTCTGAGAAACTGGGCACTCTGTATCATCCACGTGTTGCCCTATACATCATTAATTACAGCAGGTAATCAGGTCACTTGACAACGTGACTTTGGGATTTGTTATAACTCCTGTAGCTGTCATCTGAAACATTCACAGATTACAAAAACACACTGATACTGTGGCTGCTTTTTCACTGGGATGTCAAGAGTTCATCCCTCAGTACCACCTACTGCTTTCTACTGTTCCCTGGTAAGACTGAGCTCCATGCACTGCACACACCACCCTCAGCCTTTGACCTCACATCGGGTCCTTACTTTTCACATCCTTATCTTACCAATTGTTCAGTGACACACCAGGATCTGAGCATCTTCCTAATTAGCTCATTATCCTGTGAATCTCCTGTTACCTTTAGATTTTATCTGTGAGAGGTTATGATTTTTTTACAAGATAAATGGCAAAAACTATATGAATCAAGGACTTACTTCTTACTGGACACAGAGCAACCATAGACATACACAAAGATGTTTTGTTCATTACAGAATATAACTTATTTAGCTAATCTTAACCTCTAGAGTAACTCAAATGTAATTATTCCACTAGTGGTGTCATGGCATATTATGTTTTCAAGAATTTCTTTACCTGCAAGTTTCAAATCCAAGCTCATGAGCTTTCTTCAGCTGCTCTAGTGTTGCCAAGGTACTGTTGAGAGCTCTGCAGAGTTCAACTGCTTCAGATCGTGTGAGACTGTAGCGACCATTCTTTTCCACATGAAAAACTCCTCCATATCTGCAACTTACGTTGAATTCTGTGATCAAAAGAAAAGAAAAAAACAATGTTAACAATTTAGACCTAATGCTTCACTGAAGACCTGGAAATTACTTATTTTCAAGTATAATGCTTTCAATGCAAACCCACAACAAGTAACAGCTACCAATTACTTCAGAAAAAGCACTGCCACTTTCAATCACGTTTTGATATTTCCCCTCTTTGGGCTGAGGCATGAGCCAAATCTCCAGCATTCCCCAAAATAGAAGACAACATGTTTTTATGAGGTATCTAGGACTTTTAACATACTATTAACACTATTGTGCAGATGAAAGGGTTAATAATAATAATATCAATACAAATTAGAATACTCATGTGCATAGAGAAAAATGGGGAAACAACAGGACACTTCAAAGCAATGTGAATTATTTTTGCTTCTGCCCCACCTTTCCCTCAGGAGAAAAAAAGCAGTTGCAGCTCCAGACTACAATGACAACTGCAAAGCACACTTCATAGGAGTAGCTATGATTTCCAGTGCAAGGAGGAGCATGACTCATTTTTATCTTAATTTTAATGGAAGTTCCATGTGCAAGAAAGGGAAAAATAGACCAGTCTTCTCCAATATTCGAAGGGTGTGTCCTTACTGTCTATTTGAAAAAAAGATGACATATAAAAACTGTTTTTCTAAAAGACACTAAATGCAATTCATGCACATTTGTACTGACACATTCCTTATAAATAATGAGCATCTTCCCTAATGTAATTTTTCCTTGACAGTCTATTATGTTCTATAGCATAGATGTGAAAGCAAATGATAGTAATCAAGGCATGCACTCTTTCTTTAATTACTTTTGTCCATTCATAAATTGATGTTATTCTATGCACAGGGTATCTCCTCTGTGTAAACTACTAGGAACATTCCTTTCCATAGCTCACAGGAAACACTCAAGGAGATAAAAAAACCAGAATTAGATGCAGACAGGTTGATGCATGACAGGACAACTATTATTCATAGCATAGGTATGAGTCCAATAGAACTGAAACTTATTTGTCCAAAGGAGCTCAAAAGCTGTGCATACAATCTTGAATACCTTTACCATAGGCAGCAGAATGAATCATTACTGTTACTTGGATAGCCTTTCCACAAAAAGAGTGGAACAAATACCTCTTCTCCAGCCATTCCCCCTTCCCCAGTATACTGGCTGACAAAAACATTTAATTTAGAAAATAACCATTTTGTATTTCAGATTTAACAGTCTTGCTGATTACAGTTCTTAGTATTTTTAATATTTTTATTATCATGTGTCATTAAAAAACATATGGCCTTTCTGCCACTCCTTGACTACTGCTATGGGATGGAGCTGCTCTCACATCTGCCACACAAGTGGCTTCTACTTTGGCTCCAAATACTTCATATTCAAAGTCTGACATAGTCTTGGAAGTCATCCAGTCAGTAGCTGTATTAAGCATAAATGATCCAGACAAGAAAAAGGTTTCTCTTGAGTTTTCCCTTCTTGATTCTCTCTTCCTAAAACACACTCTGTGAGGCCCGAGAATTAATGTTAAATATGGGGATCAGATCACAAAGTTGTATTTGATTACTTTAAACCAAATCACGAGCTCAGTGATTTTAGAGAGAAATTTTCTTGGAGCATCAACATCTTTTCTGATAATTTTAGGCTAATTTCTAAAAAGCTTTCAGTGTGAAAGCAGATACCACATACACTTGCTTTGGGTTCCACTCGATTGCAGTTAATCCAAGATTCACTGAATTACAAAACGAAGTTCACTTTTGTTTAGAGTGAGTTGATTTAGCTATCATCAAACCTCAGCCCATCCCTGGTTTTAAACACTACAATTTATGCTCTGTTACCCCTCTGAGATCCAGTCACATCCAGAATTCCACTTAGAGAGCCAATTACTTAGACTTCTGCAGTTTAGAAAAGCAGGCTTATTGACACAAACAGGCTTAATGGAGCTCCACATGTGTGCATTTTCCATGGAAATGCTCAGCTGGAGTGGACCCTGCAGGCTGAGTGCACGTGTGCTGCCCAGCTGCACTGCAGGCAATGCCCAGGAACCCTTCTGCAGCCTGAGAGCCCACGTGGGTGTCCAGGAAACTCCGGGCAAAAGTGTGGCAATCCAGTTCTCAAAACTGGGTTTGAGGACGTCCAATTGCTTGGCACTGTGCCCTGAAGTAATGCTGAGACAGCATCCTTGTTTGCACTTTGATGGTATCTTCCACACCCACTATTCCAAAAGTTCCACTGCTGTGGCACAGACACTGCTCACGAAGAGCTGAGCATGGAAAAAGGACCAAGGCAGCACCCAAAACTCACATGGTGTTTCAGCCTAAGCATATTGAGTAAATTCAGCATCTGCTCTTTGAAGGCAGCACTAACCCCATTTTAAAAGATACAAAATGCAAACCCAGAGCTATCAGGGAACACAGCATTTTTACTGTACGGTCTCAGATTTTAACATTCACACAATGGGGAACCTTTGCTGAATTAACAGGAAAAAATCTGATCACACCAATAAATAGCATATCAAAATTAAATGATGGGATCTAAACTAAATTAATACCTTAATTTTTTTTTCCCATGTTGAGGTTTATAGAGTAATTTTGAATTAAAGGAGATAACTGTCAAATTTAAACCAAAACACGTGTTTCACCTTTTCCCATAGGACAGGAAGGTCAAATCTATTAATTCTGTGTTGATTTTACTTAGCTGGCTTTAACAGAATTATGCAAAAGATGGATTTTTTATTGTGTTCCATGAGCCAAGGCAATGTAAAACTCATTCTGCGTGACAAACTATTGCTTTTAACGTATTTGCAGCTTCAAAGGGGCTGACTCAGAGTGGACTCACAGTGAAATCACCAACAGCACGCAAACTTTCCCTCCTTCCTCCTCTTAGAGCTGTCTGGCTCTGGGGCCTGACAGGACACAATCTTTCCTTTCTTCCTTCATCCACATGATTCGCTGCAGCTGTTTAATAATGACCCTTGAAGAAGGCAAACAGTGAGAAATACGTCTGAATTGTCATAATCATTAATCTCACCCAGACCACGAGATCGGGTGACACAAACCACAGCCATGGAACGCTCCTGTCCTGTGCTGAGCTTTATGAGCACGGAAAACACAAAATTTCCACATAGGCCATTTCTGCCCATCTTTGCTGGGGTTTCTGGTGCCCTCTCTCAAGCAGCTGCATGCAAACCTTTCTCTGCTATCCTCATTCACGTACCTAAACCAGGTTCAATTAATACTTGTCAGCCAAAATCACTAACTTTGGTTCCCCAGACAATTTGCTAGCTAGAGCCCAGTGGTGGGGTAGAATCACCTCACACAGAATAAAGAGCATTGTCCTGTCAGAGAAGTGTGAGTTACACCCTGATAATTAATGTGAGAGGCTTGTTAGAAACTGTCACTGTAAGAAACCAGGTGCAATTTCCATTTCCACCCAGATTCTGCAACCCTTATGCATAATGAGTAACACTGACTCACGCTAACTCTTCCCACTGGAATTGATTTTCCATTAAAATTTTTGGTATACTGCAGGGACATCTCATGCACTACTTCCTGCTTTTCATTGTTTTAAGAGACACCAC